GATGCCACACTTCAGGAAGGATGCTCACAAATTGGAACACGCTCAGAGGAGGGCAACAAGGATGATCAGGGGGCTGGAAAACAAGCCTTATGAGGAAAGACTGAAAGAACTGGGCATGTTTAGCCTTGAAGGAAGAAGACTGAGGGGGGAGATAGGATAATACTTTTCAAATCCTTGAAAGGCTGTCCTATAGAGGAGGGGCAGGATCTGTTCTCGATCATTCCAGAGTGCCGGATATGCAACAGTGGGCTCAAGTTACAGGAAGCCAAACTGCCGGATATGCAACAGTGGGCTCAAGTTAGAGGAAGCCAAATGTCCGGAAAAGCTTCCTAACCATTAGAACGGTGTAACAGTGGAACCAATGACCTTGGGACGTCGTGAGTGCTCCAACGCTGGAAGCCTTCAAGAGAAACCTAGACAACCACCTGGCAGATACCCTTTGATTTGTATTCCTGCCTTGAGCAGGGGGTTGGACTTGATGGCCTTGTAGGCCCCTTCCAACTACATTGTTCCGTGAGTCTATAGCCCTGAAGCAGTAGGAGGTTGAACTTGATGGCCTTGTAGGGCCCTTCCAACTACATTGTTCCGTGAGTCTGTAGCCCTGAAGCAGTGTTCCAGATGGCAGATGATGGCCATTTTTCTTAATAAATTCATTTAACCAAATGGGCACAACATCATCAATGTGGGCCCTGCATCTACCGATTCGGTTCAATACCTCCTTATCCTTCAGAGGTCTGCTGGGTTTATGCTTGATGGCCTTGTAGGGCCCTTCCAACTACATTGTTCCGTGAGTCTGTAGCCCTGAAGCAGTGTTCCAGATGGCAGATGATGGCCATTTTTCTTAATAAATTCATTTAACCAAATGGGCACAACATCATCAATGTGGGCCCTGCATCTACCGATTCGGTTCAATACCTCCTTATCCTTCAGAGGTCTGCTGGGTTTATGTTTTGCCTTTCTTCCCAAGAGTTCAAGGTGGTGTACATCATCATCCATCATCCCTGCTTTTATCCTCCTGACCCATTAGGAGGGCAGATAGTGACAGACCCAAAGGTCACCCCGTCAGCTTTGTGGCCAAAGAGAGTTTGAACTTAAATCCTTCCGAGCCTCATCCAGCATTCCAATGGCTTTCCTGTTTCTCTGTGATCTTTGCTCTCAAGAGAGTTCCTGGAGGTCACGTGACTGGGATCCCGAAATCAATGCAACCCACTGATTTCACCCCTTCCAATCCCTCTGGGCTGTGGAATTCAACTAGCCTGGATCTCTTTTGATGATGTCTAATAGACATTTTAAAGGTTCTTTTGAAGACTCAAGTAGAGACCTGTATATGAACAGCTGAGTCTCTGTGGAATATTTCTGTCTCCTTCCCCCCCATAAGTCATATCAAACGAACCCCCCTTGGATTTATAGGGAATGCAGAAATTGCTCTAACCTAACTTTTTGTGAAAGTGCTCGAAAGACGGCGAGGGGCGTTTTGAATGGGGGATAGAGCGTTTTTTCACTCAGATGGCTGGGAATGTGTTTGAGCACAGTG